TTGTAGGTGTCTGACAACATTATGTAGAGGATTTGGTTAGGTTTAGGCAGGAAAACTACTTGACTATTTCCAGATCCATTTAGTGGTTGTTCTGGAGCTTGTTGTCAGCAGCACATGGCATTTGCCATGGAGTTCTAGATGTTACATTTTTTTGTTTTGCTGTTGAACTGAACCTTTTGACCCAATACATCTACAAAAACAAGACCAATAAGAATGCCTATGGACCTGGTGGTGAGATCACTGCTGTTCTCAAGGTCAATACTTAAGTTTGAACCCAGCATGGATGAGAAGTCCTTAAAGTGCTGAGAAAAAAAAGGAAATTTTAACATCTTCAATTCCATAACAACTCCATCTGCTGATGAAGATCATATGATATGGTCAAAACAACTACCTTCAGGACTCATGGGATTTTAGCTGTTACATACTGTACACAAGTAGTATGTGTAGGGAAATGCAGTGTGGCATTCTCATCAAGACTATGAAAAGACTAGTGTGAGCACAAAGAACAAGAAAAATAAATAAAAAGCATACAGATTTCAATAAATGACCAGGTGGTTAATGATTGGGGTAATGAAAAATTAAAAGAGGACTTCACTAATAGGTGAAAAATCCCCAAATCTACACAGAGAAAGCAAAAATATCCACTTTAATCAACACCTTTAGGCAGCCTGCAAACACTGTTAGCAGCATCCTCTGTCAGCCCAGCTCCCACTATATCAATCCAGGCCCCCTTTGCTTCAGTTTCCATAGCAACGCTCTGCACAGGATCCTCCTCCATCACCCCCTACCCATCACTCCCCTCTGCTGCTGCTGAGCAAAGCAGGAAGTGCAGTGATGGAGGATGCCGTGCGACAGTCTCCAGCGTGGCACAATAACCTACTTCCCCAACCTGCCGGGGAAATAACCCGGACGCTGAACGGGAGAGAGAGGGAGAAGAGGGTGCGGAAGAAAGGGGGAGGGAAGGGAGATGCCAGGGAGGATGGGAAGAAGGGAAGGAGGAATGGTGGAGCTGCAGAGGGGATGGAAATGAAGGAAAGGGGGAAAATGAGCGAGGTAGAGAAGGAAGGAGAAGGCTGGAGAAATCTATGAAATATTGATCTTGTAAATCTTGTAAATAAAATATGGGATTTTGAGTCATTTACCAGCAGAAATGTTTGCACATAATAAAAGTATTGAAAGCCCTAATCATACTAACTGCAGGATGTTCACTATAATTGCATTCTTGTAAATCTTTTCAAAATAAAAGACAGAAGATCTGATCCTGATCTCACTCAGACAAATCAAACACAAGCAAATCTCATTAACAATGAATTTAAACAGTGAAACGCACCAATTAATTTATCTTATCGAATGTGCTGATAACCATAGAAAAAGCGACAGCATCGATCAAACTCAATGACACCCTATCCTAAAGACACAGTTTCTCTTCTGCCCATGTGCAGAGCAATCCTCTGCATTCAGTGGTCCTGATGAGAGGATGGAGAGTCCCTGCCTCTCTCTCATCTGCTCTGCTTCCTTCACACTTTCACCGATTCAGTGTCCAGGAAAAGATACGACCTTGTAACACGTCTTCCACACTTGGACTACAACAACGAGGGGCACTCTGAGAGAACATGGCTCTCCCGTACAGAAGGAGACACTCTTGAAAAGCAAAAAAAGCTCCAGCCATGTGAAATATGAAGAGGTAGATAGAAAAAAAGGGGGGGTGGGACGACTTACCGACATGAGTGATGACACACTGCACCCTCTGTAGCAGCTCCTGGACCGACATCTCGTCTTCTCTCAGCCAGCACAGCATCTCAGGGTGTGGGTCCGCATCCACTCTCCTCCCCTTCCCTCTCTCGTCGCTCTCTCTCTCTCTCTCCGCCACCACGCCTCCTCTCGTCACCCTTCCTTCCTTTTCTTCCACCACAGTCTTTTGAGCCGTAATCTAGTGTTTTTTCCCCTGTGCTTTTCTCTCCTTTGCTTCTTGTTTCTTTATTTTATTTTAGTTTTTTTTGGGGGGGGGGGGTCTTATGCTCTTCTCACCTTCCTTACAGCTTTTCCAAAATCCAAACAATCACAAAGTCAGAGGATGGCAGTGATGATGGCCACTCCCAGCCAGTCAGTGAAATAGTGCTATAATCAACTTGTGAGCCAGGCACAGGTGAAATAAACAAGGCAGCCAGTCAACCAGACAATTAACACCGCAGCCAGTCAGTCAGTGAACAAAAGAGACTATTAGTTTGTCAGCCTGACAGCCGGCAGACTAGGCAGTTAGAGAAAAACAAGCAAGAAAATCATGAAAGAACAGACCCAGTTTGTCTCTATATTTACTCAATAATTCACTTTAAAAAAGCTGTTTAGTCAACTAACCATCAGACCGTTAATCAGTCCTTTTTGGGATGCTGGCAAACAGATCCAAAAAGTGAGAAGAAGCCTCAAAGTCCAAAGATCCTCACAGCAAAAAAAAGAAAATGACACTCAATTCCAGACATGCCCAACCTGGACAAAAAGAAAGGATGCTCCTGTGTATATTCTCCCACTGTAGGCATTCACCAGGCTCTGGGTAATGAAAGCACTGCTGCTGCTGCTGCTTTGATGGCTCTCTGCTCTAATAAAGAAGCTGAGTCACAATGAGAAAAAAACGAATCAGAGGGCTGCTATACCTGCCTGCAGGGCGGGGGAGACACACAGAGAAACAGAGGGGAGGGGAGGGTGGTGGATGGGGTGGGGGTTAATAGGTCTGTGAGAGAAATCCTGGTGCCTGGAGCTGGGGCTGTATATGGACTGGAGCTAGTGACTGATCCTCAAACTGAAATGTTCCCTCATTCTTATTAAAGAAAGGGAAAAATAACACAGAAGATCATTTTAAATATAATTAACTCATAATTGTTTTTAGACAATAACCATAAGCCTCTGATTTCTCCATCATTATCTTATAGGGGCTGAAACAAAACAAATCAATAGCCCCCAAACCGTCATTCATGCTTTGCCTGCCTGGGTTCATTCAGTGCTACCAGAGGCCACTCTGCTGATCCTGCTCCATGTTTTGATCAAAGCAAACAAACAATGCTACGCGGGGACATTAGCATCTCTCTCTGAGCCCGATGGCTCCTGGGACTGTGGAGATTGCCTGGGAGACGACCATTAACCAGAGACATCTGCACTCAGCCTCACCCTGCCAGCCAATTACAGACCCTGCTCAAACAGAAGCAGCAGCTGGCAGACAAAGCAGAGCATAACGCTGGGCAATGTGTGCTGTACTCACTGTAGTAAATTGGCTTTTTTAAATGGCTAATTCATAAATAGATGGATAGATACTTTATTTATCAACAAATACAATGTTTAATTTATTCTTTATATCATCAGTTTGGAATATAATATGGAAGCCCATTTCCACCAATGTGATGGGGAAAAATCTGTAGGTCATTATAATGAGAAACTCTCAACAAATATTGACTTAGTATGTCAAAATAATGACCTAGTATCACAAAGTCATTATTCTGAGATACCAAATGTGTCATTATAATGATTTACAGATTTTTTTCTTCCATAATATAATAAGAAATAGTGCATTAACAAAGCAGAGTAATATGAGATTAGAGAGTATTGAGAGGGGAGGAAACAAGAGAGGAAAGGAGAAGAAAAGGATGGGAGGAGACGTGAGCGAGGAAAGAAGGGCCAGGACCAACTCCAGCATCCGCAGCATCTGATTGGACGACACGAGATATCGTCAACGGAAGTTTCTCCGCCAGAGCGGGAAGACAGAGCCGCTGTTACACATGTCAACAACCGGACTGTAGCTGACGCTCAGTTATCAGGAGAAATATCATTTAGGTTGTGCACGCAGTAAGTAACTTTCAGTGTGGTATATTTAAGTCAGAGTTTAGTCTCAACAGCGGTTGATATATAAAGACAGAGCGATGTGTCTATGTGCAGCATCAACGGCTAACAGTTGGCTAATACTGTCAGCTAACAGTAAACAGGCCAGTACTGGCTAACTTGGCTAATTGTTGTTAGCGCGTCAGTTACTATTGTAACGTTATGTAACGTTTGCTATAATGTATTTCATTGCAGCTAGGATGTCAGGATGAGTCAATAATTGTCATTTTTAATGCTTAAGGTCAACGGTCACTTAAGTTTACAAGGAACAACGTTCATTCTCCGTGCTGAGAGGTGGCAACGTTGCTGCCAAACTCCATTCAGAAACTGTTCATTTTATTCTCATTCTTCTCACATCTGACATGGCTACACAGTTCGGAGAAAATGGCATTTAGATTATGTTTAACTCCGTTAACTGTACAATTCGGTATCATCCACCAACTTATTTACTTAATTAATAACGAGTTAGGTGACTGGTAGCAAATATTATCGGCTGTAAAATTAAACCTGTTGAATGTCGCTTTTACAATCGAACTAACGTTACATCAAACTAATGTTACAAGGCTGAGTTTGGATCTTGTAGTGTCAAACAACGTACAAGTTAACGTTAGGTCTTTATAGTTGTAACGTTAGACTTTATGGTATTATTTATCGACATAGAACGCCTTGTTAAATGATCGAATTTTTAAATGAAGTCTGGTAACGTTACGTACGCGAGTCTGACCTCATCCACACTTATGCAGTGGTGTTGTGTTTGTCACAACGTAGGTAAACCCATTTGACCTTTTGACTGTAGTCTCAGGTTCTCATGTTAGTTCAATCACTCTGACAGATGAGTCTGCAATACTGTTAAGTCCCTGGTGGTACCTTCTCATATTACAGACATTATGTGTCTTCTACTCAAGTGAAGCAGCTTGGTTTTAAGTAATATTTGTCTTATGTGTGTGTCTGTTTGTACACCTGTAGGTTTGTTTCTCTCCAGGTGTTTCTGCTGCTTTTACCAGAATCAGGAGGAGTCATGCAGGCCTTTCTGAAAGGAGCTACTGTTCAGTCTACCAGACCTCAGAAAGACAAGGCAGCAGCAGGACCCAGTACAGAGAAGAAAGCCAAGGCTATTCCTTGGGTAGAAAAATAGTAAGTGTGAACTACAATAGCACAGTATGTCAGTATGTGTCTGCTTCTGTAGCCTGAACACAGCAGAATCACAGGCACTGGGTGCAAAACAATTCACAATTTAAAAACAAAAACATGACTGAAACATCATAATTCTTATAAGGGTGTCATCAGTATGTATATACAGCAAGCTCAGGTTATCTCATACAACTACAGGCTGTTAGATGATTCAGCTTGATTCAAAGTAGAACACAGACATTTACTTTAATTATCAGTGTCATCACAGAAAGAGCAGGAAAGTCCACACAATGATACATCTGCTTAAGACATCATTCTGATATCCGCAGACTGCTGGCTAACTAGCATTAGCGTCAGGTAGCACACTGCTCCGTCGCCTGCACTGTCTTTTGCCTTTCGTAACGAGATGGCACCTTGCCCACAAACACAAACCGAACCGAACGTAAATGTGGCCGTTAAATTCACTACAGATAACCAGAGCCAACTAAACACCTGGAGTCACGACAGTCCCCCAAACTGTGACAGGTGTGCAAATTAATGGACTTTATTTGATAAATCACACAGTAATGGTATACACTGTATTAGGTACACCTGTACAGTCTAAGGCAATCCAATACAACTGTTCTGTCATAAAGTCTACTTTCATGATGCCTATAATGTTCAGCTTTTGTTGACACTATCCTTGAAAAGATTGTCGCGGACC